CGCTTTTGTACCTGAGCACCAAAAAAATAGAAAGCCATCCTCTGTGCTCACCTGGAGGTGGGGCTGACGAACAAAAACCATGGGCGGGGGCCACGGCGGAGCCCCCCTCCCCTACAGCCGCTTGGTGGGGGGTGAGGGCCCACGTGGAAGAGACAGGAGAGTCCGCCGCGCCCAGATCCGTGGCTAGCAGAGGCCCGATTGGCGCCTGAGTGTTCTTCGGTGGCCACGCCGTGGCAGCTTCCAGGCCGAAACAAGAGCTGGGGATGGAGGCCAGCAGGGTGGCGACGGGCACGGCGACCTTGTGCGGGCAGGAGACGGGTCCCGCCGCGTTCTCCGTCTTCACCACCGCCCCAGCCACGTGGTTGACGAGCCCGTAAGCCGCCGGGGGAGTGGTGGGCCGAGGCCAGGGCTGCTGCCGGTGAGACATGGGCCCGCCCGGCCCGCTCAGCCTGGAGGAGGTGGGCGCCGAGGCCTCGCCGTAGAAGCTGGGGCCGTTGATTTTCACCTCGGCGGCCCCGCCGAGGCCGTTGGACGTCCCGCAGGGGGAAAGTTTCTTGGGCCTGTCCGCGGAGGAGGGGTAGGGGGTCTCGTCCTGCAAGGAGTTCTGGGGGATGAGCCCCGCGGGGCAAGAGGCCGGGCAATTGGAAGGAAGGGTGGGCTTGTCCGCCACGCGGTACGGACTGGCCAGGGAGCCGTCGGCCGCCAGCACCGGCTTGACATCCCCTTTCTCCAGCTGCTCCACGTCCCAGGAAAAAGGGGGCTGCTTGGCCGATAAGTGTTTGAGGATGCTGCACTGCAGGGCCACGATGCTGCACAGCCACTGAAAGAGAAAGGGAGGCCACGGGTCAGAGGTCAGGAAGGATAGCGGTCGGCTCTGCCCCCCCCCCGCCCCGGTCCGGCCGTAGGTAGCCCTGGCAGGGCTAGTCTGAGCTGCTGAACCACCCAGAGCGAGCTGTAAAGCACTAGGGCAGTGGTGGCGAACCTATGGCACGGGTGCCAGAGGCGGCACTCAGAGCCCTCTCTGTGGGCACGCGCGCTGTCGCCCCAGTCCTAGGCCTTCAGCTGGGTTTTATAAAACCTTTTCACTTTAGGCCTCCGCAGCCATGTGCAAAAAAAAAAAGCATCAGTCAATCAGTCAATTTCAACTTCTCGCAGGAAAAAAAAAAGATCTTGCAAAGTTGGAATTGATTGATTGAACTTTTTATTCCCACTCAGTCTGATGTTACCACCGCAGCCACGCCCACCCAAAGGGCCACGCCCACCCAATTGGCCACACCCACCCGGCACCCGACAATACATAAGTGGGTTTTGGGTTGCAGTTTGGGCACTCGGTCTCTAAAAGGTTCGCCATCACTGGAATATAGAATAGAATAGAACAGAACAGAACAGAACAGAATATAGAATAGAATATAGAATAGAATATAGAATAGAATATAGAATAGAATAGAATAGAATAGAATATAGAATAGAAAATAGAATAGAATATAGAATAGAATAGAACAGACTAGACTAGACTAGACTAGAATAGAAAATAGGATAGAAAATAGAATAGGATAGAATAGAATAGAATAGAATATAGAATAGAATATAGAATAGACTAGACTGGAAAATAGACTAGAAAATAGACTAGGATAGAAAATAGAATAGAATAGAATATAGCAGTGGTGGCGAACCTATGGCACGGGTGGCAGAGGCGGCACTCAGAGCCCTCTCTGTGGGCACGCGCACCATCGCCCCAGTCCTAGGCCTTCAGCTGGGTTTTATAAAACCTTTTCGCTTTAGGCCTCCGCCGCCANCGCTTTTGTACCTGAGCACCAAAAAAATAGAAAGCCATCCTCTGTGCTCACCTGGAGGTGGGGCTGACGAACAAAAACCATGGGCGGGGGCCACGGCGGAGCCCCCCTCCCCTACAGCCGCTTGGTGGGGGGTGAGGGCCCACGTGGAAGAGACAGGAGAGTCCGCCGCGCCCAGATCCGTGGCTAGCAGAGGCCCGATCGGTGCCTGAGTGTTCTTCGGTGGCCACGCCGTGGCAGCTTCCAGGCCGAAACAAGAGCTGGGGATGGAGGCCAGCAGGGTGGCGACGGGCACGGCGACCTTGTGCGGGCAGGAGACGGGTCCCGCCGCATTCTCCGTCTTCACCACCGCCCCAGCCACGTGGTTGAGGAGCCCGTAAGCCGCCGGGGGAGTGGTGGGCCGAGGCCAGGGCTGCTGCCGGTGAGACATGGGCCCGCCCGGCCCACTCAGCCTGGAGGAGGTGGGCGCCGAGGCCTCGCCGTAGAAGCTGGGGCCGTTGATTTTCACCTCGGCGGCCCCGCCGAGGCCGTTGGACGTCCCGCAGGGGGAAAGTTTCTTGGGCCTGTCCGCGGAGGAGGGGTAGGGGGTCTCGTCCTGCAAGGAGTTCTGGGGGATGAGCCCCGCGGGGCAAGAGGCCGGGCAATTGGAAGGGAGGGTGGGCTTGTCCGCCACGCGGTACGGACTGGCCAGGGAGCCGTCGGCCGCCAGCACCGGCTTGACATCCCCTTTCTCCAGCTGCTCCACGTCCCAGGAAAAAGGGGGCTGCTTGGCCGATAAGTGTTTGAGGATGCTGCACTGCAGGGCCACGATGCTGCACAGCCACTGAAAGAGAAAGGGAGGCCACGGGTCAGAGGGTCGGCTCTGCCCCCCCCGCCCCAGCCGTAGGTAGCCCTGGCAGGGCTGGTCTGAGCTGCTGAACCGCCCAGAGCGAGCGAGCTGTAAAGCACTAGGGCAGTGGTGGCGAACCTATGGCACGGGTGCCAGAGGCGGCACTCAGAGCCCTCTCTGTGGGCACCCGCATCGTCGCCCCAGTCCTAGGCCTTCAGCTGGGTTTTATAAAACCTTTTCGCTTTAGGCCTCCGCCGCCGTGTGCAAAAAAAAAAAAAAACCAGGTTCAGTCAATTTCAACTTCTTGCGGGGGAAAAAAAAGATCTTGCAAAGTTGGAATTGATGGATTGAACTTTTTAGTCCCACCCAGTCTGCCTTTACCACCGCAGCCACGCCCACCCAATGGGCCACGCCCACCCAATGGGCCACACCCACCCGGCACCCGACAATACATAAGTGGGTTTTGGGTTGCAGTTTGGGCACTCGGTCTCTAAAAGGTTCGCCATCACTGGAATATAGAATAGAATAGAAAATCGAATAGAATAGAATAGAAAATAGAATAGAATAGAATAGAAAATAGAATAGAATAGACTAGACAATAGAATAGAATAGAATATAGAATAGTATACAATATAGAATATAGACTAGACTAGACTAGAAAATAGACAATAGAATAGAATAGAATAGAATAGAATAGAATAGAATAGAATAGAATAGAAAATAGAATAGGATAGAAAATAGAATAGAATAGAGAATATAGCAGTGGTGTCGAACCCATGGCACAGGTGCCAGAGGCGGCACTCAGAGCCCTCGCTGTGGGCACGTGTGCCGTCGCCCTAGTCCTAGGCCTTCAGCTGGGTTTTATAAAACCTTTTCGCTTTAGGCCTCCGCCGCCGTGTGCAAAAAAAATAAAAAAGGTTCAATCAATCGGTCAATTTCAACTTCTCACGGAAAAAAAAAAGATCTTGCAAAGTTGGAATTGATTGATTGAACTTTTTAGTCCCACCCAGTCTGCCGTTACCACCGCAGCCACGCCCACCCAATGGGCCACACCCACCCAATGGGCCACACCCACCCGGCACCCGACGATGCATAAGTGGGTTTTGGGTAGCAGTTTGGGCACTCAGTCTCTAAAAGGTTCGCCGTCATCACTGCACTAGGGGGTGGTAGGCAGGCAGTCCTCGACTTACAACAAATGGAGCCCAACATTTCCGTCACTAAGTGAGGCAGCGGAGTGAATTTTTGCCCCATTTCACGACCTTTCTTGCCCAAGTTGTTAAGGGCAGTTGTTAAACTCAGTTAACAGGATTTTTTTAACGTAAATCTGGTTCCTCTATTGTCAGAAGCTCCTCCCGTGGACACAGAGATGGGGCTGCCAAAAGCCGGCCACGGAAGGACACCTCTCCTTCTCCAGAAAGGTTTTGCACCACACAAAGGTGTTTTAAACCTGTTTTAAAGTATGCTGGCCTGTTATTTCTTATTGCAAGTAACCCTAACCCCTTGACAAACGCTCATTCGAGGGACCAAAGTTACCAGCGGTGGGAAAAAGCGACTCGGGACCCGTTTCTTTTTTTTTTCTTTCTCGCTTGCGAGCATTGCCTGCAAACCGGTCAACAAGTCGCAGGATCAAAATTGCTCACGGGATCAAAATCCACGCCGGGAGTGAAAATGTGGCAACTACGTGCCTCGATGTTTTCATCCTGTCATTAGAGTAAAGGACCCGGG